CCACCATCCTGCAGCATTAATGGAAACAGTTCTGTATCTTCTGGTAAACTGTTGGCTCGCTCTGATGGTGAACTTTAAAGACCTGGGCACAATAAAAGACTGTAAACCAACCTGGCTGCAGCTCATTCACAGTGTCATCACACTGAGTGCGAACATGTTGGGRAAAACAGAGCAGTAACTTTCATTCAGCACCATGTTCGTGTTGAGCGTTCTGTGTGTTCCAGACGTCAGTGAGTTCATCTTAACGTTTCATCCAGAGGAATTTAAAACAGCAACTCTGAGCCCTACAGCAGACACTAACAAACCCAGCTCTGCTTTAATCGGAAGGTTGGATTTGTTAGAATAAAAGTTAAAACGAGGTCAATCCAACCTCAGATGGTCATCGCAGGACATTAAACCATTTAAGAAAAACAGGCCAAACTGTTGAAGCAGCAGGTGAAACACTGAGATTATGAGTGTCAGCCTGCAGCTGCTGATCAAACGTAGTAAATAACTGATCATCATCTGAGTTATCAGCTGGATAAAAACAGGACTTTTATCTGTCTGATGCTCTGAAGCATCCAGGTGTCCAGCTAAAGTCCAGAACTTGAACCTGATATAAAAGCTGTGGGACCTTCAGAGAGCTGAGCAGAAATTATTCATGCTTTAAGAAAATTATAAATAACTGTTAACTTACACATAACTGAATTTGTCTGAGAGTACATGATGGCTTTTATAAAAGTAATAAAACAAAACATAATTAATTAACTTCTCTCTGCAGCTGGACTGAAGCCACAGATTTTTTTTAACCCGTCTGATTAATGAAGTAAATAGAAATATAAACATGCAGCTTAAAGCTATATTTCGCACACAGAGTATTTCTGCAGACAAATACTATAATTCTACTTTTTATTATTATTTTAAAATGATTTCTTCAAGGCTCAAACTTTAATCCTYTTTTATTCTTATATTTAAATTGGAACACTGGCTCCAGTGAACCTATATGCAGATAACATTATTTATTCAGCTGGTTCTACTTTGAGCTTCTAACCAGGGATTATACAGAAAGTCTTGAGTTCAGTTTAATACCATTTAATACATATTTTTAGTATTGTAACAACATTTTTTGATACCAACACAACTCTGAGCTGCAACTGTAGCAGCAACTCTTGAACTTCTAATTATATAATGAATTATTAAGCAATAAATTACTGTAATTTTTTGACTGAATTTTTGTAGTAAGCGTAGTATTATTATACATAGTGGATACATAATTACTTATTTGCCTCAATAAAAAACACAGACCTACATACAATATTTTGTTATTTAACCCTAACCCAAGACATAAAGTGATTTTATTGTTATACAGAGTGAGAGGGATTTTTAGGAGATAGATGGTTAAAAAGGTATAGTTAGGCAGCTGTTGAAAAAGATTCAGACAATGGGCCTCATGCATGAACCGTTCGTACGCACAGATTTGTTCTTAAGTTGTGCGTACGAGTGATTTAGAAG